AAAAAAAAAAAAAAAAAGATACCTAGTACCAAACAAAAAAAATTAGGAATGTGATCTGTGGTTACTAAATACTTGCCAACACTGTGCTCTTTAGATACACTTCTTTGCAAACCAGCTTTCTGAAACTGTCAGCATTCACGTCAAGAATCATTTACAAACTTAATTGACACTAATTTCATCCTTTCATAAAATAAGTAAAACAAAATGTCATAAGGAAAACATTTTGGTGAGAGTAAGAGGGGAGAACTTATGATTTAGGGATTGGGGACTATCCTCACTTGTGAACACATACCAGTCTTAATATTCTTAATCTTTGTAACTTCAAAGTGGAGTAACAACACAAATTTAACAGTTCAAATATTAATTTAAAGCAGAAGTCCTCAAATTTTCATTGTAACAATCTAACTACTTAGATCTTTGTTGACAGAAAAGTCTAAATGATCTCTTATAACTTGAGAATGAGAAAATAAAAACAAAACAAAACCCCTTACTTACTTCTGTAAAAGTGAGTTTTTGAACTTCTCTGCATTCAATTCTATTCGTAACTGTTCTGCACTCTTTCTAGATGCAGACAACAATACTGAATGCTTTACTAGTGCCATTGCTGATGGTCTTTTCTCTGGGTCTGGATGAATCATAACCTTAGAAAGAAAAATAAAGTTGTGGTAGAGATATACAACTTAGCAAAATTTTGAACAGTGTCAATAAAGTACTTCGTATAGAAAATGCTCACTTTTAACAACTCTGTAAACTCCTGGGAAAGCACTTGCGGGATCCGAGGCAGTCTACCCTGTCTAATTTCATGCCATTGGTCTCCATTTCTGGGAAGAGGTTCAGCACCAGCAGCACATACTACTGTGAGGGCAAGGGCAAAAATATCTGCTTTCGGTAGATGGGTATAGTTCTGGAAAATTTTAAAAAATTAAGGCAATGAAAAAATGGTTAAAACAGAACATTACGTATCAATGATGACTTAAAAAAGAAACTAGACTAAAAAAGTTCAAAGCCACATTGAAATTAATGATCTATTCAGAGACCAAGCTGCTAAACTTAGGGAGATGTCTATTTTCTTATATTACAAATACATACCTGTGTGTGTGTTAAATTGATGTATAAAAGTAAATGCTTTTTCTTTTATCACTAGCCCAATTAAACTCTCAGAACAAACTCCTATCCCTCTAGGGATTCATATTCTATTTTATTTCAAACCCCCTTAGGTGCCACACTATTTTTGAAACTTTGTGACATAATTTAGTCATTTCTTATTAGTAAATTTTTATTTACCTTATTCTCAGTTTATGTACGTATGTGACTATTTCTAAAGAAGAAACTTAGAAATGAAAAGTTCTAGGTCAAAGGGTATATGTTTTTATATATATATAGATAGATAGATAGATAGATAGATAGATAGATAGATAGATATTTTGGGGGGCTGGGGTTACTGGGGCTTGAACTTGGGCCTCATGCTTGCTAGGAAGGTGCTCTAACACTTGAGCCACGCCTCCAGCCCGTTTTTGCTTTATTTTTCAGAAAGGGTACTGAGTTTTTGTCCTGGACTGGCCTGAGACCAAGGTTCTCCTTACCTACATCCTCCTGTGTAGTTGCAATCATAGGAATGCAGCACCTCACCCAGCTCATTGGTTGAGATGGGCTCTCACTAACCGTTTGCCCAAGCTAGCCTCAAACCTTGTTCCTCCAGATCTCAGTCTCCCAAGTAGCTGGGATTATAGGCATGAGCCACTATAACTGCCATAATTTTTTTTTAGTGGAACTGAGGTTTGAATTCAGGGCTTTGGCCTTGCAAAGCAGGCACTCTACTGCTTGAGCCATGTCTCTATAGTCTATTTTGCTCTTTTGCTCTGGTCATGTTGGAAATGGAGTCTTGTGAACTACTTGTCCAGACTGTTCTCAAACCTCTATCCTCCTAATCTCAGCCTCCAAGGTAGCTGGGATTACAAGTGTGAGCAACTGGCTAGCTATGATTTTTTTTTTAAAACAGAAAATCTTTTATTTTTCTTTTTGGTGGGACTGTGGTTTGAACTCAGGGCTTCACACTCACAAAGCAGGCACTCTACAGCTTGAGCCACATCTCCACTCAGATTTTTAAATATTGATAAATACTAATATTCTGATCTCCAAAAAGGCTATGAAGACTATTCTAAAGTTAAACAAGTACTGTGTGGGAACATCTCTTTAACTGCAACACAAAAATTTTTGCTAGATTAAATATCCCTGGGTAATGATGTGACTTTTTGTTTCTACTCCACTAATTATTAAATTTTTAATATATTTGAATTAATAGTCTTCTATGAACTGATGCAGATAGTATTACTGAAGGAAAAAATTACCTCTTGTAAAACTTCATTTGCAAGAAAACGGCTATCACCTTCTTCAACTTGTGGGCTAGAGATTCTTGTTACATGCCCAAGATCACCTAGATGTATTGAAAAAAAGTATATTCAAGAATTAAAACCAAAGTGAACAGACTCTCTTAAATTTTAATATAATAATCTAGTTTTTTTCCTTACCTATTTTAAACATGACTTTGTTGGATAACCAGTCATCTTCATCTCCTTCTTCAGTGGCAGCATTTGGAATTGAGGTTCGAGATATGAAAATATTACCTATTAGTTAATATACAAGCCATATTAATAGAGTTTACAAACATAATCAAATGTAAGAATCATTCAGAAAGTTTTAAAAATGGAGATTCTTATGTTCTACTTCAAATCCAGTGAGAGTAACTTCAAGGGTTAAGGACCAGAGTGTAATTTCCAGGGAATACATTTTTTAGCTTAGCACTGACCTCTGAACATTTGGAATACACTACATTAGACCCCTGTCATCTATTAATCTTCAGCAGCTTATTAAGTTTTAAAATAATATAAAGATAATAAAAGTAATTCATGATGCTGCCTAAGCAGAAATTCTAATTCAATGCTAAAAGGCTGGTGTGAAAAGAATGAGCCGTAATGACCCAATCATTGTATTCACATATGAATACAGGAAATTAAAAAAAAAGAAAGAAAGAATGAGCCATTTAGCCAGAGTTTCACTGACCATATTGCATCAACATCCCAACACTAATTTGTGGTTCACTATTTCCCACTATATACATGCTTTTTCTTCAAATTTGAGTAAGTCACGGTTTGTAGCTCCACGCTAGCCCACAGGAAAATTAATCCTGCTCACAAAGAAATCACAAAGACAGCCCACTAGCCCTGATTCAGTGACAATTTCACCTTATTTATAGGACAACTTAGTTAATGATGGAATCTATAAATTTAAAGATTTTTAAACTTCACATCCCTAAATATTTTCAATTTTTGTATCATGTAATACAAGGGTCTACTATATTTGTCTGACACTTTAAACAAGATGACTGTGTACAAATTAAGTCTTACTAATTCAGATTTACCACCATTAGTCTAATATTTTTCCTTTCAAAATGAAAAACTAGTGAGTTATTTTACAGATATAAAAATTCTACAGATTTCAGAATCAAGAAAAGGTATGTAAAATGACTTAAATTTCTATGAATTGACACAGACCCCCATAAATTGACAAAGAATTATTTTAAGCCTATAAAAATTTGTGCTCACTTCAGCAGCACTTGTAACACTAAACCTATAAAATTCAACTTAAAAGTACCTAGCTTAAAATGATGAATTTGAATCCATCAACCCTTAGTTACAACTTCCAATTTATAGGAAATATAGGAGAGAAAGGACCAAGCTAAAAATAAAAGGAAGCAACCAGTCAAATCCTGAAGGCTTATCTTGTGAGACAAGTCTTTATCATTTTTAAAAAGCAGGGTGAAACTTCAAAAAGAAAAATGGATATAACCAGATGCACTTCTCATGGTCCTGACATAAATACCAATTTGAACAAATCAACCACCAAAGACTTGGGTCGAATGAGAAAAATTTTAGTATGTTCTGGCCTAGAAGAATGGGTCTTTAAAGTCTCACTATCAGAGTACACTTTAAGACTATGTAGTTCCTATAAAAATAGAGTAAAAATTTTCCAGCTTTTAATAAGTATTATCTCAAATTTTTGAAGCAAAGCGGTAAATAGAAATCATAAAGCGATACTGGCAAAGTGGGTCAAAGACGTTTAAAAATCAAGTCTACATATATAAATATATACATATTTTCGTATTATTACAATAAAATGTTTTCTTCTCTATAGCCCCCTAAAACATGGGACAGAGGACTCTAATACTTACTAGGTTTTATATCCATGTGAACCAAAGACATTGAATGAATATATCTCAAGCCCCGGCCAACTTGCAAAAGGAGATCCTTCAACTCTACTTCTGTAAAGTAACTCATGATTCTGTAATTTTCACTTATAGCATCAGCTAAACTTCCACCTAACAAAAACAACAAAAATTAGTATTTTCTTTCCGAAACTTAGTTTTCTTCATTCCCTCTTTAAATGAATGACTGAAGTCTCAACCAAGAAAGTGACATTTCACAGGAACACATTCCTTCAATCTTCATGTGAAATAAAATTTAACTTTTCTTTTTGGCAGCACTGAGGTTTGAACTCAGGGCTTTGTGCTTACAAAGCAGGTACTCTATGGCCTGAGCCATACCTCCATTCTGTTTTGCTCTGGTTATTTTTGAGATGGGGTCTTGAGAACTTTGCACAGGCTGACCTTCAATGGAGATCCTCCCGATCTCAGCCTCCCAAGTAGCTGGGATTATAGGATTACAGGTGTGAGCCACTGGTGCCCAATTCTATTTAACAAGCTTTAACTCAAATGACAGCATGTATTTATTATCTTGAAAACCATTCTACACCACTATTTCTATGTGTCCATAGAATTTGATTGTATAATTGAATAGTAATACGCTAACCAATTCCTCCTAACTGATTAGACATTTTAAACTTATTTCCAGCCTCTGTTATTACATACAGTGAATAACCTTATTCACTGGTCATCGCAAACATATTAGTATTTCTCCTAGAACCCAAATTGCTAGGTCAAAAGGTATGTGTGCTTGTAATATACGCATGCCTAACACACATTATGTATAACCCCCAGAGAAGTGATAACCCCCAGAGCAGGCTATACCAACTTACATGTCCATCATTAATGTATGAGAATACTCTTTTCCTATATTCTTAACAGTCTACAAGCTGTATAGGTAAAAACCAGAATTTTAATTTTTTTTTTTGGCGGTACTGGAGTTTGAACTCAGGGTCTCACACTTGCTAGGCAGGCACTCTACCACTTGAGCCACTCTGCCAACCCTTTTTTGTGTTGGGTATTTTCCAGATAGGGTCTCTTCAAACTATTTGCCCAGGCTGGCCTCGAACCATAATCTTCCTAATCTCTGCTTCCTGAGCAGTTAGGATTACAGGCATGAGCCACTAGTGCCTGGCATAATTTTAATTTATACTATCTTTTATTATGAATGAGAACAAACCTACTTTTATTGGGCCAACCAAACCAGTTAATTTGTTTATATTTTTAAATTTTTTCTAAATTTATACTTTGTCTCAAAGGAAATGAGTTGTTTAAAAAAAACAACCTGTTTAAAAATTAAGAAATAATAAAATCAGAGCCAATGCCATAAAATCAGGAAGGTAAATGATAGGCTTTACAACTTGAACAAGATTAATTAACAAAATATCAAAATATTTTTTAAAACAAAAACAGGAGCTGCAGAGGTATAGCTCAATAGCAGAACACTTGTTTAGCATGTACTGGGGCTGGATCCCCAGCACTGCCAATAAATAAATAAATACATAAATAATAGATAAGTTAGTCACACATTTGGTTTTTTTAGTCTTCCTCTATACTTTACTTGTACAATGTTGAATAAGGAAAGTACAGGAGGGCTCTAGAAGGGAGCAAACTAGTAAGCCTATCCACTAAGGGAAGCTAAGTCCTAGATCAAATTTAGTTTAAAAAAAAAAAGAAAAAGGAATATGGCTACTTTCCTTTCTAAAGGAGGTCCAGCAACTGTTTCTGGACCAGTTCCTTCTACCTCATTGCTAGAAGGGCAAATAGAGGTGTGAAAAGCGAAACACTCAACTGACATTTCAGGTTCTCTTCCCCTGTCCATTAACATTTTTCTACCCTGTAATTTCAGTCTATCACTAAACCAAGAGAAAGGGCTTAAAATGCAAATGACTGTTAGTGATAATAAGGAAACTCAAATCCTTTTACATTGTGAAACTGGGAAAGACCTGAAGATAAACCCTATAAGGACATTCAAAGCAAGAGCAATGGTGTAAAAAGGAAACAAAAAAAAAAAAGAGGTGTCAAATGTATCTAGGTAGCCTGAGGTGGGTGTGGGATCCTGGTGGCACACACCTATACACCTATAATCCCAGCTGAGGCTCCAGAGTTCCAAGAAAGCCTAGGCTAGAGAATCTTTATCTCAAAAAGATAAAGAAGAAAAATCCATGATAGCTTCATTTTCTTTCATCTAGGTAAAAAGACCAGCTATATAAAGATTCAGTCCTGTTTTCTTAAGTGTTTTATACTGCTCCAAAATAAATTACTTTCAAAATATTATTTCATAATCTAACATTATTTCAGTACAGTGTCTTCGTAAATTGGTAGCAATACTATTCACACTTTCCCACACACCAGGCCAAAGGGTCTTCTAAAAACCGTATGACTTGAAGCTAAATGCATGGCTCAAGCAAGGAGAGCTCTTTCCTAGCAAGGCAAGAAGCCGACTTCAAACACTAGTACCGCCAAAAAAAAAAAAAAAAAACCCACAAACATCTGAATTACATAATCATGTTTTGGTAGGTTGTTACATGTTTTGTGATCCCTGGACTGCTACTGAAATACTTCTAAAGAGAATTCTCAACATCAACAAAGTGAGAGAACAAAAGAAACTGAACAGAGTCAGCATCTGGCAAATATGGGCTAGAGAAGACATATGATTCAAACTGTTCTAAATTCAATGTAGTAACTGACAAATGAAGGTTAAGAAACAGAATAGTTCACAAGGTCATGGGAGATAGCTCAGTAATTTTTTTTTATGGTATGAATAGAAACATTTCAAGGGCTATATGAAACAAAATAGCAGCAATACTGTATACTGAACACAAAGCTCTTTCATGTGTACAGAACTAAATCAACTCAATGAGTCAAGATTAAGAAATTTACAAAAAACCCAAGAAATGTATCTTTCACTTATTTTGTTCATTGCCTTTAAATATGGAGAACCTGACTCTACTATCCACTTACTCACTCACAAGCAATGAATTTTGCTAATCTTGTTTAAAGAAAATAATGAAAATCAACAACAAAAATCTATTTCAAGTGTTAACTAAACTTTAAATTCTCTAATACTCCCAAGAGATATTCAGGAATAGAACTAATCCATTACACAAAGATGTGTGTATGTAATAACAGATTCCTACAAAGATGAGAATTCAAGTTAAGATTTAATGAAAAAGAATACTAGCTGGCCCCCAAAGGAGTTTTTGAAATTGAAAGATAAGTTGATCCTATACATTTGCCTATTTTGTTTCACTTTTGAAAGGGAAGAAAGAAGACCAGCTAGAAAATTTAAAGAGCAGATGGTGGGAACGAAGCAGAATTTCAGAATGCCTCTAAGAAACAACTAAATTTAGGCTGGGCACAGTGGCTCAAACCTGAAATCCTAGCTACTAGGGAGGAAGAGATCTGGAGGCTTGCAGTTCGAGGCCACTGAGCAAAGAGTTAACAAGACATTTCAACCAATAAAAGCTGGGCGCAGTGGTGTGTTCACCTATCATTCATGTGTAGACAAAAACAGGAGGATTTCAGTCCAGGCTGGCCTGGGCATAAAGATTTTATCTCAAAAATAACCAACACAAACCAGGAACTGGTGGCTCATGCCTATAGTCCTAGCTCTTGGGAGACAGAGATCAAAAGGATTAAGGTTCAAGGTTAATCCAGGCAAATAGTTCACAAGACCCCATCTCCAAGAAAAGCAGAGCAAAATGGACTAGAGATATGGCTCAAGTGGTAGAGCACTTGCTTTGTAAGTGCAGAGTCAGGTCCAAACTCCAGTTCCACCCAACAAAAACAAAATAAAATAGAACATGGAGCCAGGCACTGGTGGCTCACACCTATAATCCTAGCTACTCAGGAGGCAGATATATGGAAGACCAGGGTTCAAAGCCAACCTGGGCAGTTTGTGAGTCCCTATCTCGAAAATACCCATCACCAAAAGGGCTGGCGGAGTGGCTCAAGGTGAAGGCCCTGAGTTCAAGCCCAATACCGCATTCAAAACAAAACAAAACAAAACAAACCACATTACCAATACAAAAAGGGCTGGCAATATGGCTCAAATGGTAGAGCTCCTGCCTAGTAAACTTAAAGTGCTGAGTTCAATCCCTGGTACTAGAAAAAATAAATAAGTAAATAAAAATAAAGAAACACTGAATTTAGATCAATGGAGTAGTGACTGTCCTTTTATAAACAACCAACATTAGTATCAGAAGCACACAAAATGAAATGGAAAGGAAAGGCTAGATGCAGTGAGAATTTACTGAACAAAACGTCTTTGGTATGATTTAAATGTATCCCTGAAAGTGCACATATTCGAAACTTACTCCCCAAAGTAACACTATTGAAAGCTGGGGCCTAATAAAGTAAATAGGTCATGAAGGATCTACTTTCAAGAATGAATTAATGTTGTTACCATGAGGCTACGTTAACAAAAACAAACAAAAAAACAGAACTATAAGCCAAATAAATAAATTTCTGCTCATTACTGCCCAATCTCAGGCCTCTAGTGGGATCCTCTCAATCTCTGCCTCCCAAACAGCTGGGAATACAGCTGTGGGCAACTGCACCCATCCTCCAGGTGTATTTTTTCACACCTGCAGAAGACAGACTAAAAACAATCCTAACTACTATGCAGTTAACAAGCTCTTCTAGGTGACAGGGATATCAGAATGTGCAAGGCAAGGCCACTGTCCTCTGGAGAAGCTCAAGAGAATCTGAGTGACAGACACATAAATATTATGTAAAGTCCTACTAACTGAGACATGTGCAAGATGCTTCAGAATGGACAGTTTTCAATTTAGTTACACTTGGAAATTTATGCTATGCCTCTGATCTTTGAGTTTCCAAGAGATGAGAAACAGAGGAAACTAAATATATAGCTTAGTGGTGGGGTACTTGTCTAGTCAGTCCACATGAAGCCCTGAATTCCCTCCCTAGCCCTGCCAAAAAAAAAAAAGAGAAAAACTTAAAATAATAAATATTTACTTTCTGTTCATTTTGTAAAGCTCCCAAGTTTATCAAAGAGTCATTAATTACTCACCATTACAATATTCATTCTGTATAAGCATATGGTCATCTTCTGCCCAGGCAGAGAAATAGCGAACCACATGAGAATGCTGTCCAAGCACTGCATGAGCATATACTTCTCTCAAAGCGTTCTGCCTAGGAGAAATTTGAGATCAACAGAATGCTAAAACATTTTTACTCAAGACTAAATCAAATTAATTTACCTGAAATTTCATAAAATAAACTTGACTTTCCTAACTATTATTATGCTAAAAAGCAACTAGATTTTTAAAAAGGTACTAAGTCATTATGGAGCTGGATATGATGGTGCTTGTTGTAATCCTAGCACTTGGGAGGCTGAAGCAAGAGGATTGTGAGTTTGAACCCAACCCCGCTCCCTTTCCCCCGCCAAAGAAAAAAGATCCTCTAATCCTAGCTACTTGGGAGGCAGAGATCAGGAGGATTCTAAGCTCAAGGTTAGCCTGGGCAAAAGTTCAAGGGACCCCATCTCAAGCAATGCCTAGGCCTGGTGGTGCAAGCCTGTCATCCCAGCTATGTGGGGAAGTGCGAATAGAAGAATGCTGTCCAGGCCAGCCTAGGCATAAAGCAAGACCCTATTCCAAAAATAGGGCTGGTGGAGTGGCCCAAGCAGTAGAACACCTGCCTAACAAGTGTGAGACTGAGTTCAATCCCCAGTACGTTTAAAAAAAAAAAAAAAAAAAAAATCAAAACCTCATATGAGACTTTCCAAAGACTTCCATTAAAGAAGACTGTCAGAAAGAAGAAAACTTGCTGGCCCCAAGACTCAATGAAGAGCAAAATGCATTTTACATGCATGCTGACAAAATATAAGAAATTTAAGTTAGGCTCTAAAATCAAATATTCATACTATTTACCAAGACCAATAAAAACAAATGATGCAAAATTAAAAGGGCCTCTAGTAGTCAGGAGGCAGGGCTCAGGAGGATTACAGTTTGAAGCCAGCCCAGGCAAACAGTTCATGAGACCATAAATCATCCAACCCAAAAAGGGCTGACAGAGTGGCTCAAGTGGTAGATCGCCTGCCTAACAAACTTGAGGCCAACTTTAAACCTCAGTACTGCCAAAATAGGTCTAATGAAATCTGTAACTTCTCAAAGAATACAAGAATTAAATTCAGGGTTTCATCATCCATAATCTTAATACATGTGTGTGTATATGACAACATGAGGCAAAAAAAGCAAGACAACAATGTTTAATACATACTCATCAACAGAGCCTGCCAATGGCTTTTTTGATCGTTTAATAGCATAAATGCATCCATCCAGCCTCTTTACACACTTGAACACAGATCCAAATTCTCCAGAGCCTATTTTCTCCAGCTCATGAAATTCTGTTGTATACCGTGACTTCATGTTGCTTTCAGTAATTGTAATTCTCTGTAACAGAAAGGGTATCCATACATATAGTACGAAGACATAAAATGATTTTTTTGCTTTGATGACAGTATGTGAAATTTCAAAATTATTCTGCTTCATTAACTCATTACACTTTACTATTTGACATATATATATACATATACATATATACATACATATATATGTATGCATATATACATACACGTATACATATGTATATATATATATATATACATACGTAACTCGCTAGGAGGCAGAAAGCCAAATTTCAGAAATAATGAAAAGCATTATTTCCAGGTATGGTGTTAAGTTAAATGCCTGTAATCCTAGCACTCAGGAGACCGAGGAAGGAAGATTTCAAGTTTGAGGCCAGCCTGAGCTACACAGTAAAAAACCCTGTATCAAAGAAATAACAAAAGAGCTACTTACTTTAGCAGGTCTTGTTTCATCTTCAAACTCATAATCACTGGCTTCCATGTCTTCACAGGAACTGAAAAAACAGTACAAATTTTATCTAACAGACATCAACTTGAGATCCAAGACTTTTATCTAGTAAGTATATAGTGAATTGGTTTTTAATGAAAACAAAAAGCATTTAATTCTGTAATCACAAGATTCAGCTCAGCTGATGAAAAAGTACCTGTTGTGAGACATGCTAACTAGATCACCACGACAAATCAAAATTAAAACCTTTCTAAACCAACTCTGCCTTTTTTTCTTGTGGGACTGGGCTTTGAACTCAGAACTTCACACTTGCAAAGTATGGGCTCTACCACTTGAGCCACACTTCCAGTTCATTTTGCTGTCATTATTTTAGAGATGGACTGGCCTCAACTAGGATTACAGAGATGAGCCACCAGCACCCAGCTCTGCCTCATTCTTGACATCAGATTTCCAACAAGGTATCTAGGCTTTTTATTCCTTCTTTTCTCACACTATGCCTTTCCTACAGCTGATTATTTCCCACCCATCTCCTGGGAGTTAAGTGCTAGTATGAGAAAAACTTCCAGAGCACATTCATTCATGCCATTGGAACCAATATTGGGTGCGCATGGGAACCAAATTATTAAGTGACTTACTCATTCCAATATGCTCTCTTTCTTCGGCGACACTGTCCTGAGGAATGAAGCAACACAGGATCTGGGGTAAAAGGATTAATATTCACTTGAGGAGTCTGTCGAGTGTCAAACTCTCTTTTTGCTGATCTTTCTATATCTGGGAATAGAGAACCACCTCGGAGTTTAACAGAACTGGAATCAATTCCTCGAGCTTTGGAAAGCAAACTCTAAGAAAGAAAACATAAAAATGTTTAGGATTCAAGTTCTATGAGCAGCTTTCTCAATTTCACTTTCAACAGTCCTTTAAAGTGGCAGAACAAAGCAACCTATCAGGGTAGAAACAGAGCACATGCAAGGAGGCCCCGGTTCCATCCCCAGTACCCGGCAAGACACAACACACTGCCTTTGTTGTAGGTCAAGCTAAACAAAACGGTGGCTAACTTAGGAGTGTGAGGTTGGGTACTGTATATACGAAAAAAAACAGCAGCGTAAAATGGGTCTCAATCCTAAAAAGGAACATTCATGCCGACTTATTTAAAAACATTTTAGTGGTTAATAGTTAACAAACTTCCAACTGTCTAAAAATAGAAGGCCGTCAGAGTCCCATAAAAGCTCCCCTCCCCAGTCTAATTAGGGCCACAAAAGCCACCCCGCAGGGCTCCCCCCTCTCTTGCCCTGGGCAAGTCGGCTCCTAATCAACACAGCCGTGTATTGCACATATTCCCGAGGTCGGTGACTAAAGGTGCACAGAAATCAGCAGGGACTCGGCTTTCCCACGTTCACCTTACAGGTGCGATGCCTGTCTTCACTGGGGAACAATCTGCCGTGGCCTGTCCTGGTTTACGCGGTCACTTGCACACACTGGCCAGACCACCTACGGGTGCTGAACACCTTACAGACTGCAGAGACGTGACCCACAGCACCCGGTTCCCAACCATCTATCACACTCAGGTCAGCCGAACCGGCACGGCCAGCCCCACGCCTACCCGATACTGTGTCCCCAAGGAAGCTGGGAACCCCTCAAGTCACGCGGGAGTCTGTAAGCCAGCCTCCACGCCAAGTGGAGGCGCAGAGCCCCTGCACGCCCCCTGGTCCCCCCGCACCGCCACAAGACACGGAAGCAGACGCGGAGACAATTGTACCCTCTAACCGAACCCCTGCCTACG